AACTTCCTCAAATAAATATTATGATTATAATAAAACTAATATTCTACTGCTTAAATCTCTCTTCTTTCACGCATGTTCGATTTTTCTTCGGGGAATATTGGAAGCTTACTTTGTAACGGGTCTTCTTGGGCAGGGTAGAAACTCAGCCACTCCAAGGTTAGTTGCAAGACAATTTATTTAAAATGAAATATTCTGGACCTTCGGGGATGATCTGAAAATTTCTTTATTTTATATAAGAGGAGTACAGCGTTGTGTAGAGGCTGGCCAGGAAAGGAACCAGCGAGGTGACCCGACTTGTCGCGCTATTGCCGTTTTACTTTCGCACACGTAGTTCAAGCTTCTTTTTCGCTTTTCTTTACGATGTCGCGGAGCACTACAAGAGAAGAGATCGAGTTCGTTGCCCGTGTCATAATTGCCCTGGCTCTCTGGGCCGACCGTTTGTCTCCGGTAGGTCGTATGTATATACAAAAAAAAAGGTGTTCCTCAGTCCTTCACGGGTGACGACTAACATCTAGCCAGTACATCCCCTATCCGTGGTGTCAGTAGTCCTAAAAAGTATTTCAGGAATGACGACTAATATCTAGCCAGTACATCACCTATCCGTGGAGTCGGTAACTCTAAAACGTACCTCAGGGACGACGACTAACATCTAGCCAGTACATCCTTTATCCGTAGAGTCTTAACAAAGAAAGGCGGCTTGTCAAATTGTCCGTACACACTTACCCTAGGCGGCTATCACACGAATTGAAAGATTCTGTGTGATGATGCGCTCTTTTATAGCTGAAGTCTCGCTCGCTTGTTCCGTTGCCATGTTCTATGCGTCTACATATGCATTGAGGTACTATACTTATATATATACTTAGTTTAGGTTGGCTTCGCCGTATTTGACGCAACCTTGGTCGCGACTCGCATGACATACTTATACATAACTTAGTGCCAACTAGCATCTAACTTATTGCTAAGCTTGATCAAAGGCTTGCTCAACATGCACCCAGGTACAAAATCGCATGATTTATTCACCGTTAGGTGTGTGAGTGCCATGTTCCTTAACCTATGTGTACTTAGCTTACGTTTATGTGCAGTAGGGGTATTTTCTGCGCGTTTATCCGTGTTTATATATGTGTGTTTACATGTTTGGCACGTGTGATCCTACGCGTTTGTACATTTTTATGCATTTTCTACTTATTCCCAAGCTCGTGTGTTTATGACGTTTATGCATTGTCATATGTTCATATGCGCTATACATTTTTGTACCCAAGTGTTTATGTTTTGTATGACCTAACGGTGCTATACATTTTGTGCCATGCTTGAAGAATTTTATATGGCCTAACGGTGTTTACCCAGTAATGCATAATGTTGTGTATTCTGCCGTATGTGCTTACATATTTTGCGCATACAGGTTATTGTATGTTGATATACATTGCTATATGTGATGCTATGGATTTTGCATGTTCGTGTGTGCTTATCCCTTATTTTCCTACCTAAGTGTTTATTCCTGTATGTTTTATATGCCCTAACGGCGCTTTACATTTTGTTCATTGCTTGAAGGTTTTTATATGGCTTAACGATGTTATACATTTTTATGTGTGAATTTCGTATGGCCTAGCCTTTTTATTTACATTGTTATAAGTTTTTATGCTTATATGTTTGTACATGGATGTTTATACATATGTTGAATTTCGTATGGCCTAGCCTTTCTATCTATATTGTTATGAGTAGTTATGCTTAAATATTTGTACATGTATGTTTATACATATGTGTGAATTTCGTATGGCCTAGCCTTTCTATGTACATTGTTATGAGTTTTTATGCTTATTGATTTGTACGTGGGTGTTTATACATGGCTGCAAGTTTCATTTTCTTTTATATACATTATAATGAGTTCTTACCGTTTATGCGGGAGAAGGCTGCTTGTGTATCGGTACAAAGACAAGTAGCGGACAAATCGGACTGACTGGTTGTGGACGTTGAGTGCACTGGGGCGGACAGACTCGATATTCGGAAGGAAGCAACACGCTTCTTTACAACTTTCATCGCTCTATAATTTATTAAGCCTAGCTATTTTTGCGTCTGTTCCGATCAAGCAACATCGTCCTCGCCTGCCATGGTTTAACAAGAGAATTAAATATTAAAAAAATAGGAAAAACTTTTCAAAATTTTCAAAAAATTTATTAAGAGGCATCGCCAAGTTGAGTGTACTAGTTAAATCGTTTGAGCTAATTGTTACTCAACATTTAGCTTTTGCTATGAAATTTTCTATTTCTCCATTCCAGCATGGCTTTCTGAAAGGAAGATCCACTGTTACAAATCCGCTAGCGTTTACTTGCTGTATTTTAAAGGCTTTTTCTAGTGTCTTTCGCACGGGTGCCATATATATTGATTTTAGTAGAATATTTGTCAACTTAATCAGTTAAATTCCAGGACTCTGGTGTCCTTTCCTACCTAATAAATTGGAAAAGCTTTTGTCTGCATAACGGATCATTCAGGGTTCTGTTTAACTTCGTCATCTCTGATGAATTTCCCGTAAAGTCTGACTAGTCTCAAGACAGCCACTTAGGACCCATTGCAGTCGCAATCGTATCAATTGCATATTGAGTTAAATTATTTGCTTATATGGTACTCGGTAAATTTTATGATATTAAATTTAAATAAGTGCAAGAAGCTTTCTCTCTCAAGGAGGAAGTCATTTAATACTGAATATTTCATTCCTTCACCCAAGTTGAAAAACGTAGATTCGTTCATCGATTTAGGTGTTGAATTAAAGACTATGTTTTTGCACAGTGAGCTTTCTTTAAGTAAAGCTAGATGCGTGCTAGGTTTCCTTAAGAGATGGTCCAAAGAGTTGAGGTTTCATTGCAAAAAGTCTATATATGTGCTTTGTTAAACCAATGTTTCAGTATGCCTCTGTTGCATATACCTGTTGCGTGGTGTCCTTCCTATAGGTGTTATTCAGATTCAATTGAATCACTTCAAAAGCAATTCCTCCTGTTTGGCTTTAGGAATTTAGGTTGACACACGCAAAATTTGAAAAAATTTCTCCGTCATTAGTCTTATAATAAACCACCTGAAATCGGGCAGAAGAAAAAATGGAGCTTTACCACCTCGACTGCTGCTTTTAAATTTGCTAATTCTGTAATCTTTTCCTCTTCGACAGTCAATCCTATTTCGTCCTTCAACCTTCCTTCAGTTTGCTTGAAAGATTTTTTGTTATCAATAAACTTGTTATGTTTTGACGTACATTTATTATGTATGTATTATGTCCATTATCTCTTCCATAAATATCAAAACTCTAAACAATATCAACCAAAGCAATGAAAGTAATAAATAAAGGTGAAAACGAAAATTTAGTTAGCTTTAATCCAAGTCTTCACCTCCGAATTGACAGGGTCGAATTATATTGTTCTCCTCTTTGGCTAGCTGTAATTCGGAACGACTCAACGTCATTATTAATTTCTATTAACAATTGTATTCGGTCTACTTTTTATAATTGTTTCACTTGTATGGTTAACAACTCTAAACGTTCTCTCTAAGATTTTGCAGCATAGCAGATCCTATGCAAACATTTCTCTCATCATAGGGGGAATATTTGGCAAAGATTAATTATTTATTACTAATTTTATGATTATTATTATTTTAAAAATGAAAATTAATACATGCGTTATCATGCGAAGGCTTCTAAACATACATAAAGAGCTTGTAACGAGTCTTCGTGGGCTGGGTATACTCAGCCAATTCAGGACTCTTTCCAACAATATTTATAAAGATTACGTGGACCTTCGGTTTCGGTCTTACGTTTTTATTTACTTAAATTACAAGAAGATTATAGCATTCACGTGAATTTTAATAGGCGTATGAGGAAAACCAGCGTGGTGAGCCGACTTTCCTTGAATGTTCTTTTGAATATTTCGTATTGGTTCCGAGCGACTATGACTATCTTTCACGTTCTCGTATCACGAGTTTCCTTGGCTGCTATGACACAACTGAAAGCTGAGCGTGGTACGACACGCTCCTTTATACTCGCAATCACCCCCAATGTCCCCTTATATGCATGTTCAAGGCTATGCCAGCTTACATATGTATTGTGCCGATATTCTCATACATTTAGTGTTACGTATGCTATTTTATGTTGGCTTCAAGGTGTTTGCCTCTCTCTATGTTACAACCCCAGCTCTGACTTGTATGAAGATACTTTCCTTAGTGATAATTCTACCTGCTATGTACAATGCATGGTTTTCTTCCCAAACCCTTCATGTATAGCTTATGTCTATCTGATTGCTATGCTTGTTTGTATGCCTATGCTTTTGTAAAATACTAACCGTTAGGTATGTGAATGCTACGACTTTACAATCAGTCAGCACCGTTAAGTCTATGCTTACAATATGTTTATTAAGGCAAAGGGTTTTTTTTCTTCTATTTCTATCCTATGTGTACATTTATGCGTTTTTATGCTCTTCGAATATAGCTCATACAGCTGTATATGTCACATGCCAATACGTTTTTATATATAGCTTATATGTTACATGCATTTATACTTTTGAGTACATTTTCATATAGCTTCTACAATTGTGTATGTTACCTGCGAATACTTTGAATACATTTTTATATGTGTTTGTACCTTTAATACATTTTAATATATAACTTATATTGTTGTATATGTTGCATGCGTTTATGCTTTTGAATACATTTTCATATAGCTCATACAATTGTGTATGTTACCTGCGAATACTTTGAATACATTTTTATACGTAGCTTATATGGTTGCATATGTTACATGCGTTTATGTTTTGAGTACATTTTCATATAGCTCATACAATTGTTACCTGCGAATACTTTGAATACATTTCTCATATATATAGGTTGTATGTGTGTTTGAGCGGGAGAAGGATGATCGTGTTCAGGGGAAAGACATGTAAACGGACAGACCAGACTGACTACTTGGGGTCTATGGGTAGACATTTGTGCGGACGGACCTGCATTCAGTAAGGAAGCCAAACGCTTCCTTACAAGCTATTACAAAATATATAAAAAATTTTGGATAATAATTTTGGACGTAACTACTCGTTTGCAAAAAGTTTATTGGGCGTGCCAAATACACGTAAGTCTTTGTCGTCGCCAGTGGCCAATAATTCTCCCATCATCCACATTTACTACCGCTTGCTCGCGTGACTCTTCTCCGCGTTGTTGCAGAAACCATTTGTTGGCACTCAGTTTTCTATTTGTCTTTTATTTGTGGTCCACTCAAACTTAAAAAAACAATGGAAAAAAATAAATGCAAACAATATGTTGGCATAATTTCTAAAAGCTTATTTTACCGCTATATTTTTGAATTTAGTTCCCTTAGCTGATTTCACAGTCTGCTCAGCTACTCATGTCCTCGGGCAGTGCTTCCTCTATTACCTCCGTTTGTTGTTGTATAGTTGACCTGTAAGTACCTAGAACGGTTACTAAAACGAATATATGCAAATACTCAAAGGAATCCTTACATATTATTCTTTTTATTGATGTCAAATCACTTCCTTTTTCTTCTTAACAGTCTGGGCACATACATCACTGTCTATTTTTCTTGAACTGATGAATTCTTCCGCGTTGAACACTTTTTAATCACGAATGTTAACTGATAGGGAATTTCCGGAGATTATTTTCACAATGTATTGGTTATGTCAATACTAACAAATATTTTGTTTTCCACAAATCTGTTAGATGCTTAAAATTTACTTTGTTAGCTGATGAGAATTTACGTCATGAATTTCATCGTATTCACTTTATCTATATATAAAACATATTATATTGTTTTGTACATAACATCATTTATGTTATCATACATACTTACTTACTTACAAATTATTTAATGCGTTCCATTTTAATTAAGTTAGAAACTTTGATATTGTTTTTCTATTGAAAGTGACATAAATTAAAAGGAAAAGAAGTACATGTGTAAAAATGTGCTAAGGATTTGTTTTTGTAGTGCAAAAGAAAAGTAGGTTAGAGGGTCAACGGGCCCAACTTCGGGGTTTGCCATTGCAAGTCATGGTCCGAAGAGACTATAAGTAGGGTAGGGTGCAGAATGGCCAAGTTCTTATGATTTACCCATTCGGTAAGTAGGTTTTGTCCGTCCGTTTGTTCTTATAAAGTCACAGCACGTGTATTTCTTTTAGTTGGAACCGTCTGCATAATAAAGTCAGTTTTTCGATATTCAGAAAAAGAAAAAGGGTTATTGCAGACATCAAGCGTTCAATAAATCTAAGTTGAAAACGAGCACCTCTTCTAAATTGTAAAGCCGGCCTATAAAAGTAAAAAATACTGGCACAAATTTTGCTTGCGAGGGTGATTTCTAAGATCTGAGCTCTCCCAACCCTCATCCTAGCCAGTGTCCTGCCCGGTCTGTCGCGGCTCTCATTTATTCAACTTGTTCATTGCTCATAGCGGTGTCTTAACTATCAATCCAGACTCCGGGATCTAAATTTATCTCCTTCTTAACTTTCTAATTTCATTGTCTGCATGTATTAAGCAAAGTAAGGAATCTTTCCCGGAGAGACCCAGAGATCCTGCATTAATTTTGTCACGCTCCATTCCTCCTCTCCTCTCATCAAGTGTAGTTTAGTGTTCATACCTTCGTAAAAACGGCTTTCTTATCAGTGTCCGCTCCGGTTAGAACATAGTAAGGCAAAATAGGGGGACAATAAGTTGCTCATATGCCGTTACCGAGGAACGCACCGATTATTTATTTAATTCTTTACACAACAAACCAGTAAATATATGCACATATATAATTTAAGATCTACTTTTACGGAAAAAAAAATATTTAATAAAAAGATATTTTTATTTTATCGGTCAAGGTGACTGTACTTTATTAAGTTACCATATCCAGTAAAACTAAAAAGTTATGCTTTAGAAATTAGCTCGTCTTTATTTTATTTAATTAGTTTTGGTTATTTTACCTTTTCAACTATTTTAGTGGCGCTACTTATGCGCCTTGAATAAGTTCTGTAAACCAATGAATGTGGATGGTGCGCATTACCTTTATGTTAGTAATGCAACACGACATTCGTACGCTAAGTTTATGGTAACCTAACTTTTTTTAAGCAACGACATTATGTAAGCACATGTAAGGTACGTCTGTCAAGCATATTCTCATGATTAACTAATTTGAATAAAGAATAGTGACGAGTGATACTTTTAATAGGCCAGGAGTCAACCATGAAAAGAAAATTGTTTTTTCACAAAAAAAAAAAAAATTGGAAATATTCTCTTTCCAAAATACTAGTCTGACAAAGAATAAGGCAAAAAAATAAATTTAAAAAAGGCCGAACGAAATGAATCGTAAAATGCCACAAACAATAGCTGAACTTCTTGCCCTTGCTTTGAAGATTCCCCCAGATTGCGACGACAAAGTTGAAAATTTTTAGGCTTTCATTAATGCATTAAATCGATAAGATTTACGAGAACAATCGCATGAAGCAAACGCAATAGATTTGTTTACAAACTTAAAGGGATCATCACGATCCTTAGTTGTGTCAGAATTAACAATCAAAGATAAGATGGATACACTTCCTAACACAATAAATGGTGAGCCCACTGAAATATATCCAGCTAAGCTTTTATCTCACACACAGTCCACAGACGTTTTACACCTAAAATAAATGCAATTACTTTACACGAATAGAAGGACGGAGGAAAGCTATCTTACCGAAACGGCATTTCCTAAGCCCTGGGCCCTTCCATATCTTGCCCTACCTATGGTCTCCTCCTTTGATCTTCCTTTTAGAAAGACATGCTGAAATAATTCAGGTAAGACATTTAACTTGGTAATGCCTCTATAGTTCTCGACGAGTTATCTGTTTCCACACTTGTGATGTGGAACAAGGAAGCTACTCTTCCCACAGCACGCGAAAACAACTTTTGTCAAAGAACGATGGAAAATCTTTGGGTTAACACCATATAACTCATAGGAGCATGATTTGAGTAAACATAACGAAATGCCATCAGATCCAGGCGTACAACTATATTTTATTGACATTAAATTGACGATAGAAAAATTTCGTCAGAGGTATTCAACAGGTATTCCAGATTTCAATATCACCAGAGGAGTCAAAGCCATTAAAAGAGACATATGAGAAATATACGGAGATTCTCCTTTTGTAATTAAGAAATTTATAAACTTATTTAGGATTAATAATAACTGAGGATTTTGTCATTTGAAGTTACTTTCAATCGGTTGAGATAATTTTATGGCTTGCAGTTGAGTAGCCGAAATAGTCATACATTACCACTTTTCATATATTTTTAAAAAGCTTTGTTTTCCTATTTTCATTAAATAACAATTGGTTCGAAGGGGGAGTTGGCTAATCGAAACGGATGCAGAAGAGCTAGATGCAAAAAATCTTAGAACGAGAATACTAGAATTTCCATATTCCCAGCAGAAAAGTTAAGCATAATGTGTGAAAGATGATATTGTACGCCGTAAATTTGAGCAAACGAGATTAGAAGTTTTACAGACACACAGCGGGTCCATCTGGTTCCAAAGAAGTAGTATAAAAATTGCTATAAGATACGGGTTTTCAAGTAAACTGGAAGGTAAACAATGATTTACAACTATCTCCACGAAATTGACAAAGTAATGGTGAAGCAGTCTGCCATTGCCGTTGAAAGCTTGATTTTATTAAAGTCAGCTTCGATTAAATAATTTATTGAAAAACAAAATAACTCTATCAGAAGTTGAAGTGCGGACCGTACAGTCTGAGTTATCACTTTAACACCAAATGAGTTGAGTTAAAAGAAAATCCCACTCCTTATAACTATACCAGTAGGTTTTGACATTGTAGCCACCTCAGAAGTGAAGGCAGCAGAAGAGAGAACCAAGTTATATGTGTTTATTACAAGGCTGCCAATAAATTCGACGTCGAGTGGGGCCGGAATTTCTGATCAATACGATGAAAATGCAGGGAAGGGATATGACAATTAATACACCAAAGGTATCATAGGATATAGGACGGCCTTGAGCTTAAGATCAGTCCGTCCGACAGGTAAGCTAGATACGTTTGTTTGTCTTCATAGGGAGATAGCCTTTATCAGTAGGTTCCTTGACAGAATGTGCTCTGTGCTTACAGAAATATTAAACTCTTGGAACATTTTTCCCACCTCTTGTTATCATGTGGGCCACAAGGAATTTATTAAAAGATACGTGAGTGAAAATCAAGAATGACCCATTTGTAGCGAATTCTTCGAGCTCAATATGTGGAAATCATGTAATTGGTTTGAGGCGCTTCCTGATGTTCCGAAAGCATCATACCCCAAATTGAGTTCAACACCTAGCCCACATAAAAAAACTATTGAAACTGCTACCTTGGCTTCATTAGTTACAAACAAGAAAACTGGTAGTACTAATAATCCCTCGCTAGATATTGTGAGATCTAAATTAGAGTCCAACGAACACCTTAGAACCAATACACTGGCCACAGAATCAATATTGCATCGAGTCAATTTCATTTTAAATATAAATACAAACTCAACATCATTCAAATGTTCATAATTCACGTTGCTTCGCTACCGATTCATTCCAGATCACTTACTAGTCGGTTAGATTACTATTTGAAACATCTATCTAATCATTTAAAATTTAGTGGCAACGAAAACGAAGCGTTGTCGGTTAATAATTTTCTGTATCGAGCCGAATCACTAACCACGCAAAGTTTACGGGGAAATTTCGACGTTTTATGTAACCATCTTAATTTACTATTTGTAGGTATCGTGAAGCCCAATTTGTCGAATGGGAACCACTCAGTATTGATAAGCAACAGAAAGCAAAAGTTAATTGAAATGTTTGACGTCTATTATGACGCGATCTTGTAATTGACCAATCGGCTTCAAATTCCTCTACCTGACAACTAATTAATAAAAATTTCAAAAAGGAACTTACGTCTTAAAGTTCAGAAAGAAATTACACATTTTAAAATTATATCCATATATTCTTTGAGACAATTGGTGTTGAGACATGGGTTACTAGAGGAAGAACTAAACAAATTCAAGTTCCAAAAACCCTGTATTCGTCATGTGTCTGAAATTGAAGAAGATGAATAAATAGCCAGCAACGACACGAAGCTGACTGCATCGTTCTATGCAATCGGAGGCATGACGTCTTTAACTCAATACAAGATACAGATTTCTAAATAAGCTTAAAGGTGGACATTTATGAAGTAACGATCCAGAAGTCTGTCATTACAATTAGAATCACGGTTGTGTTGAAGTAGATTTCGATCAAATAATCGAATGTAAGAAACAGCAAATCTACCAGATGGTAAGGTGGAGATATTAAAGCCTGTAAAAACATAGAAATAAAAGCAAAATAAAGCAGCCGCAGCTTCATTATAAACGTAAAAAATGAGCTTTAAGGAGCTAACTTGCGTGACCGGTTTATGAGGTTGTGTTTGGCTTTAAATTGCCATTTGCATAAATTGGGTTGTTTTTTGAGTTAAATTGTAAGAAGTTGTTCCATTAAACGAGCGGTTATCAATGTTATTGGTTGTTACTGCATTTTGTACGAGCAGCAAATGTACGTTGTTAGAACGTACACTTGGATTTGGCTAATCGTTTAACCATTCATTAACGTGATCTATTACGGGACTTGAATCGCTATCATCTTGTGCTTCTTCAAGATTGTTATGTCTTTTCCGCAAAAATTATTTTTCAACCC